ATCGATAATTGCTAGAAGATTTGCCTCCGGACGATCTTCTCCGCTCTGACTGGATGCACTTTACTACCGACGGGCCCGTCAGTGAGCTGGGCATCGCTTGGGATCCTGAGGCAGATTCATTTCGATTTTCTGCTCCCAAACCAGGCGAGTCTAAGACTCTAACCAAACGACGCGCTCTTGCGGAGATGGCCGGCTTGTGGGATCCAGTGGGCTGGCTAGCTCCTGTCGCCGTCTCGGGAAAGATGATAATTCAAGACTTGTGGAGAGCAAAGCTATCTTGGGATGAACCTTTACCAACCTCATACGCAACCCGCTGGGCGAAATTTCGATCAAATCTGGCCAACATTGGCTCACTCACTTTGCCGAGATGGTTCCAGTCGGCCCCGAACAGCGGCTTGCAGTTGCACGCATTTGCGGATGCAAGTCGACGGGCCATAGCTGCGGCAGTTTACCTCAGAGTTGAGCGGGCTAATGAGAGTTTCATCGTGAGCCTTATCAGCGCTGGAACCAAGCTCTTGATGGGAGTAAGCTTGGTTTTCTGAACATTCGAGGGCCAGCATGACCATCCCACACTTGGAGCTGAGAGCCGCTTTACTAGCCACGAAATTGCTCGGGACGGTAGCTACTGGCTTAGACGTGCCAAGCGATCGGCATTTTCTATGGAGTGACTCTATAGCACCGTGGTAGACTGACTGAGCTCAGACGAACCGGTCGGCAACAGTCTAGTCAACAACTACATCGAACACATGCAAGAGCTCACTTCCCGTAAGGCGTGGCGTTACGTGCCCACTGGCGAGAATCCAGCCGACATCGCAACCAGAGGCGCTTCACCTATTGAGCTTCAGCGGAACTTGCTCTGGTGGCATGGCCCACCCTGGCTGGCGTTCTCCCCTGATTCGTGGCCGGCTCCGCTCGATCAGTGAAGACCTTCCGCTGTCTCAACTGACTACGAAGAAGCTCATCAAATTACCGTTTGTTCAACTGTATTGGAAGCGCACCGCGCGCCCTTTTAAAAGTTTTCGAGCTTGTGCCGCCTTCTGCGGGTTCTCGTTAGACGCCGTCGCTTTGCGCTCTTAGTCAAGAGCCGAGTAAGATCTCCAAAACCCCTTTGCTCAAAGGAACGGGACAAGTTTCTGCTGGTCTATCGGGCTCCGATTAGAGCTCACGAGTTGCAGAATGCATTCTTGAATTGTGCGAGAGCGAGCCAAGCTCACTACTTTGCCGCCGAGATCGACACCCTGAAGAAGAGGAAACCGATTCCATCGTCAAGCCCTCTTAATCGTCTGGACGCATTTCTTGACGACAACAATGTGTTACGTGTCGGTGGCAGTCTCCGACACTCTCCCTTGCTCTTTGACGAGAAGCACCCTCCGATACTCGACCGCGCATGTCATCTCTCGCGCCTTGTCATGGAATGGGCTCATCTCCGAGCACTACATGGCGGCTTTCGTTCTACCTATGGTCACGTCATGCGCCAAGCGTGGATCATTCGTGGCGACGCCACGATAAAGCCATGATAAAAAAGTGCGTCCGCAAATGCGTCCTGTGGGCCAGATCCATGGCTCGATCCATAAGTCAATTTATGGGCAATTGCTGGCTGCTCGCGTGACACCACCGCCTCGGCCATTCAGTAAGACTGGTGTTGACTACGCTGGGCCGTATCAGATTCCCCGATTGAAGGGGGGAGGCATTTCCTCTTTAAAGGGCTATGTCACCATTTTCGTCTTCCTCTGCACGAAAGCCATTCACTTGGAGCTACTCGGTGATCTCACCACAGCAAGCTTCCTCGGCGCTTTATCTCGTTTAGTCGGCTGGAGAGGAAAACCAGAGGAGATCTGGAGTGATAATGGGACGAACTTCCATGGAGCAGATCGCGAGCTTCGAAAATTGATGGAGGAGGCCGAGCACAGTTGGGATTCAGTGGCTGAGAATCTCGCAGCAGAGGGCATCGATTGGCACTTCATCCCTCCTGCGGCTCCTCACTTTGGAGGGCTGTGGGAGGCGGGCGTCAAGTCTATGAAGTATCACCTGCTCCGAATCGCCCAAATGAGGCGCATGACTGACGAGGAATTCTCGACCCTGTTAGTCGAGATTGAGATGATTCTGAATTGCCGGCCCCTTGGTCCACTCGCTGGAGACACTAAAGATCTGGACGTCCTAACTCCGGCCCACTTCCTCATAGGAGGCCCTCTTACTAGTCTGCTCGGTGCTGAGCAAGACGACAACTTGGATCGCCTGTCCCACTGGAACCTAGTTCGAGGTGTATGCGATGCACTCTGGCACCGATGGGCTAAAAAATATCTAAACACGTTGCAACAGAGGGCAAAGTGGACGAAAAGGCGTAGAAACCTCGCTGTTGGTGACGTGATACTAGCCTTGGACCCCACGCTCATTACATCGACGGGCAAATGGCCTCTTGGTCGTGTGATCGAGGTCATCCCGGGTATCGATGGTTTGGTGAGAGTCGTCAAAATAAAAGTCGCAGGCAAGGAATACACTAGACCTATCGTAAAGATCGCTCTTCTTCCGATACTCAAGGAGCCAGTCGAAGACTCTGGCGTTTATAAGCAGCTCGACACTGTTCTCATGGCGGGCAGCGAAACATCGATTTCACGGCGGGCGGCCGAAGCATAACTAGGGGAAATTGTCTACAAAAAATTAGTCCCAGGGACAAGGCGGGCGGTATGTTCCGTCAGCAGCCGGAAATGTTGTCAAATTAGGCGCGGAGAAGCGGCGATAGCAGCGCCGGAAGAAGAGCTGGCAGACGAACAAAAGAAGCTAATAAAGAAGGAAGAAGAAGAGTTGGGCAGTGAGCAGAGTGTCGTCGACAAGAAGGAGTTTTTCCGTTGTTCTTGCCTAATCTGTTTTTTTTTTCTTGTGATCACGAATCTCCTCGTCTATCCTTTGTACTGTGTAAGTAAATTAGCTTAAAAAAGATCCTCTTGTAATGAAATAAACCTATTCTTGTATGTCGAAATAAAGTGATGTTGTTGCAAGTTATTCTCCCGAGTCCAGCCCGCCCCCAGATCCAGCAGGCTCTATCGAGCCGCTGCATTTTTGCACACTATAAGAACTAAAGACACATTTATTCGATATAGCAAAGAATCTTACATTCGTGACTGATTGGACTATCAAGATAGACTCCAAGAAAAATAAGGATTTCTTTTAGAGGATAAGTATACTTAACTCGTATTTAAGTGAAATGACTAATATTACATACAAATTGCATTGACTTTTACCCCATGCTTTTTTTTATTGGATCCCAATTTTTTTCCACTGACAAGAATAAACACATAGTTGAACATAATCTTTTTTTTCTTTGTAGGAGCTTCGTTATGCTTAAGAGACGCACCAATCGAAAAAAAAGAGTCACAATCGATGCCAAAAAAGTATTCTCTTTGCATGACCACGATAAAAACTGGGGCAGTCAGAATTTACTAGTGAAAGGTCTGACAGCAAGTTGACTTAATCTCTAAAAATTGTTAATCTTATTGTGATAAGAAGTAATTTCCAACGAAGTAACAATTGATCTCATTTTTACTGACTTATATAATCAAAATAATACTAGTTTGTTGGTACTATTCATAACCATTTTTTAATAATAAAAACAGAAAAATTATGAAGTTTTTATTAAATTTATTTTTATTTTATTTTATTCGCTTATAATATGACAGTTAACAAAATATTTTATCATTATTTTTTATCATGCTTTTAATTTAACTCCTAATTTATTGTTTAAAAAAGACCCTTTCCTAATTGTTTTTACGATTTTCGGTGTCCCTCTATTATCAGATATGTATATCCGAAAAAGTATCGACCACGACGATCCATCACCTACCCATTACCATTATAACGCCACAAATCACGGGCTAACAAATAAACACATGTATGCAATATATGATTTCTGTTCTGCTCGTACTTCTTGACTTCTTTCTCCTACTTTTTTAATAAATTTATTGTAATTCTTGACTTTGATAAAAAATGTTTTATCATTCAATCTGAAATAAATAATTTATATTGTATGTTACTGACGATTACTATACTTAAAACTTATTAAATTATTTGGACTTTTACACCTACTTTTTTAATAAATTTGTAAACTTATAATTAACATTTGCCATCTACAAAGCATTGAATCTGCTAAAGTCATGAAATTATGCACTGTTTAGTCGTAAGTTATTACTCATGTAATAATTTTGCACACATCGAATAANAATAAATAATTTATTTTACTAGGTTTTTAATTTCATTTCTTATAACTACATTTATAAAAATTGAGTTGCTATTACGGAAAAAATCAAACCAAAATCGCTGGTCCCTGAAACCGCTGCCAAAGACGTTAAGGCCTCAAACGTGTTACGTTCGATATATATACATATAAACACGAGTTTTTTCAGTACCAGTAGAAGTATACCAATGTTAGAAATTTCTCTTTGCTGGTGCCGGAAAAACCAGTGGTAGGCAGCGGTGAATGAGTGTAAGTAAAAGACGGTAGGTGCCACTGATTAAATTGGATCTTATCCCTCTCCGTGTAAATATACTAAGAGTTACAGCCAAAATTGATGCCACTCTAGTACCAAGAACGAATGGTCATAAATAAATGTTCAGAAAAATTACTATCGGCAAGTATTTTCCTTTGTAGGGGGATTCATTCGCTTAAAAGTCGATTTTCAACGATCGTAGATAAGTTCCAACTATGTCACCAATGTCAATTTAATTTTTCACCGACATAACTCGTTATGATAAGACAATATCGTAAAAATACTGTGTATCTCCACAAGTAGTGAAGTTGCTCGACTTTTGTGAGATTGGCGGCAGGTATTGTTTATTTGTCTCATATGTACCTCAACTCTTATTCCAATACCTGTGCGCTTTTTCGGCCTAAATTTTCAAAGGTGGGGGAATAGAAAAGAGAAGCTAGAAAAATAGAGAAGAAAAGCGAAGTTAGTCGAGTCCTACCGATCTTTGGTAAGTAGGAGATATTAGCTAGAGACGTTAGAGACACGCCCTACTTGTCTCAAGAGGTTCCAATAAAGTTACTTTGACCACAATTCGTGCCTTTTTTTTTTAAATAAGAAATTCACGTCACAATAGTATTTTTATAAAAATGTCTTATGAGAGTCCATATGAAACAGATCCAAGTCTAACTATACCAGTAGATCCTGACAACCCAAATGCAGGAACGTTAGCGGGTCATCATATTATGTCTCCCAGCAACACTTTCCAAGATGCGAGGCAGATGGAGATTGAGCCGATATCTAAGGATGATCCTCGCATTTCAGCCGCCGATAATGATAAGGTGAGGAAACGATCAATTAAAGACGAATATCTCGATTTTTTTACATTTCTCGAAAATTTGATAAAGTGGCGTATTTGTAGGGCATACGTCTAATGAAAATAGATTCTACAATATTTGTCGCGAATACACTCAACGTTAACGTAAGCACGGAAGTTCTTTGTCTAAGTCTTTGTCTGGTTTTCCTTTTTAAGTATTAAATCTTTTTTATGTTAAATGTTTGACTACAATTAGAAAATTATATGCCGACTAGTCTTATGCTCTACTTTCTCAGGAATTTTGATGAACCAATAGGTATAAATAAAAATTTTAACCTGTTGGATGTCTCATAATGCTATTTTATTTGCACGCATGATAATTATTTTATGAGAAACAAACATGTTGGTTTGAAAAATATTTTTAATTTTCAGGTCAGTGGTAAATCTATTTTAGTTACGGGTTCCAAGAAAGTTGAAGAAGGTAAGAACGAAAACGCTACCCGAGAAATTACCGTAACGTATAACATCACGGATGAATATGATTCGGATAAGGTTGAGGCGTGGCTCGACTCGGACAATGTCTTGTATTTATATGTTCCAGCTGTCGATAAATAGACTGTGATCAACATTAGAAACGTCAATTTATGGTTACAGTCAATAAAAGATAATGTACAAAAAGGAAATAATAAATGATGCCATTTCATAATCTAATCTATTTTATTTATGAATAGTCAACTAAAATACTTTAAGATCTCATAGTTTTTATCATATTAATACAGGGATAAAAATAAAAATTTAAATACTTCACAATATGAGTGAAGTAACACATTTATACAGTTGTCGATTTTCTTTCCAATAATATCAAGTGCTATTTTTTTTATCCTGCACTCAATCGAGATACTTATAGTTGGAAAGTCTACTGGAAAAATACCCGTAAATCAGTAGGTACCGTAAGATAATTTCATATAAAATTTACTCTTAATTTTGTATGTTGTAACGAATGGTTTCACAGATTTTAAGTTATTTGACAAGGCTAAAACGTTATGCCAAACAACAGCTCCAGAAAATATTTATATGCTAGACTTAACATAGTTATTAGATACTTAACAGGATACATCTGCTTCGGTCATAAATTAATTTTTTATGTAAATAAATAACCAGAATACCCATAAAAAATAGTATTAATGGAATTTGAAATATTAACTATTTGGCAAACATTTTGGTTTCTTTTCAGCTACTCCACTTTGCCTCTTGCCACATATAATTGACAGTGACAAAGAGTGTCCGTTGTTACTTATTTTTCTGCAACGTTACTCCTTTAAGTAACATCCACCAAACAATAAAAAGTATATTGTTAAGGTTGATGTAAGCTAAGCTCATTGATATTATAATTTAATTTTGTAAGAATTAAAAATTTTTAATTTTCGAAACAAAGCACCTTACAAGAAAATACCTTTTTTAATATATTATGTAAAATATGATCTAAGTCAGTAAAATATAAGATATTATACTATGTAATAAAGAATTTAAAATTAAACTCAGAAAAACAAAAGTATAGTTAAAAAGTAAAAAAAATGGTGGCTTTTACTTTCAACTTAACGATTTGTCAATGCAACGAATAGTATGTTAACAGGCACACAGTGAACAACTGAGAATTTCTTGACCAATTAACTTTTAAGATGTAAACATTTTATACGACGTGTAAACATTACTCATAAGGGAGTCCAAATTTTAATCTTATTAGTATTTGCTTGTAACAGATGAACACTATTTTTTGTAATTTTTCTATCGAACTATTTTTCTATTGAACTTTGTGTCTTTGTATTTTTTAAAAAAGAATTAACTTACCTTTCTTATACTCTCCCATATTCCTTGGTAAATAACTAAATTCAAATAAAAAAAATTTAAAGGAAAAATAAAATAGATAAGAACAAATGAGCTTATATAATATGTATTTTAACATTTTTATAAAAATTTACAAATTTATTTACTGCATGACATTGAAAGTATTATAAACACTTACTTTGANTACAGGCATCGGGACATACATTAATAATGATTATATTTAAAAACGATCGAATTTTGACATATTTTATTTAACTTTTATAAGTGAATTAATTATGTGAATGATGAATAATTTCAAAATTTTCTTGATTTAAATAAAAAATGTTTTTTACATAAAAGTCAACGCGCATGCATATAGAGCGCTAAAAAAAAATTATTTGAGCTTGTTAGAATTATGGTTTGTCTTTCTTTTTAACTTCAGTTTTCTGCGGTTTTATGGTTTTGCATTAGACAAGTCTAACTGTAACTCTTCCGATTGTTTTCTCTTTGTTACAAGGACACTGGATTTATATAAATGAACAACGTCATTGTAATTAAGGGTAGTGTCTGTATTCGCACCTATTCCTTTGACTTTATGATTTCCATCTTTTGAGAAAATTATAAATTACAAAGCAGTGTTTTAAATATTTTAGAGCAGTTGTCGTGAGTTATTGTAGTAGAAAGATACTATAAACGCAAATTGCACATCCAAAAAGTATTTAACAATAAATTAATAAATTTGTGTTGTATATTATGTCAGCAAAAACATATTACAATCACCTGCTACGTGAAGGTTTCCTGGTAACTTTAGAATAATTATTTTGTTTAAAGTGTTTAAATGACCAAGTGTACTAAAAAAGGTCAATAGGAAATCAGGTATATGCTATGATTATTTTCGTATCTGATGGCTCAACTGGAGTTTCAACGAAGAACAATCAAGTTTAATTTAAAACGGATAGTAACCTTTCATTGCTGTTAAACAATGGAAAATTTACCGATGATACCATAGTTACCCGCACTTAAGAGAATGTCGGAACCTCACAAATTGATGTCAGCGTCCAAAAGTACAGTATTTTTGGCAATGTTTAAAAATGACATGAGCAATAAAGGAGAAAACGTTTTAGTGATCGATGATTTAAGTGCAGATGTAGTGAAAGAAAGCTTGCACTAAATGTACACTGACAACGTGGAAAACATTGATAAAGTTGCACACGACTTACTAATTTGCGCCAACAAGTATTGCACACAAGGGCTGAAAGTAAAGTGTGAACGTTATCTGAGTACCACATTAAAACTGAATAATGTTTTGGATATTTTGTTGTTTGCAACTTCACATAATTATAATCATTTGTGGAAAACATTGATAAAGTTGCACACGACTTACTAATTTGCGCCAACAAGTATTGCACACAAGGGCTGAAAGTAAAGTGTGAACGTTATCTGAGTACCACATTAAAACTGAATAATGTTTTGGATATTTTGTTGTTTGCAACTTCACATAATTATAATCATTTGGAAAATAAAATGCTCTAGTTTTTCAATGCTCATCGAAAGTATGTGATTGGTAGTCCAAAATTCAAAGAACTGTCGGAATTTCAACCTGCTTTGCTTGTTGATATTCTTTGCGAAGTGTTGTTGATGAATCACTTTTTTATGCAGCGCTACTCTTCGTGTGAAAATCATGCAACTGCGGGTACCTAGATTATACGTTAACAGCACACACCGATTCACACTTTTAGTAATAATTAATTAATTAGCAAAAAATTAGTATATTCATTCATCTGATAATAGATCGGATTACAAAAACAGGCTTTAGGAATATCACACACTCGATTTGTTTTAACTCTGAAACCTTAAAAAAAGCTTGAAAAAAAGGTAAACAGTTGGTTGAAAGTAGTCATGTGTGCGATGTTACAGCATTCAAAGTGATGGAGTTAGCAATTTGACAAGTGCCGTCGTAATTTAGGCAGACCTCGGTTAACTTTAGCTCCTTACAAAATTAACGTGCATGAACGTTTTATTTAGATTATTTCGAAAATTGTCTTAGTTGCAATTTACATGAAAATTACTTTTATATACAGTTGCATAATCATCAAAATTTATGTCATTTTACTTCACCTGTCTTTGCGCTACTGTTACACTAAACAACGCAGCACTTTCTTTTACTCTTACGTAATAAACGTTTAAATAATATAAATCACAATGATCATGTCTCATTGTCGCGTATTTATCTTTCTTTTTGACATTTGCTTCTGAGAGTGTGCTCTGGATCGAAAACTAACGAGGCTTTATAAATATACTGTTACATTCAAACATTTTACAACCGTTTTTGGCACCACATAGTTCATTTTTTTACATTTGTGTAACTGCAATTTTATAATATTGATACTGTTTATGCATGTGGGATTAAAACATCTGAAAATTTGACGAAATACTGTTATTCTTTCGTTTGAGGAAAGTTGGAGCATATGTATGGCTGTCGTCGAAAAGCTAACCTAATGGTGCACGAAGAGAAAGAGGAGCAAAATAATGCAATCACGGAAGGGCGTCGCACTGTTCAATTAGTGTCCATCTAAAAACTTTAGCTACTCAACTAATATGCCAAGGATGCGGGGCAATATTGTCATTGCCTAATGCTGAAGATGAACAACATAAGGGTTTGGCATCCATATATACAATAAAATTTCAAATAAGTTTTGTGTATTTTAAAGTCGCGACCGTTAAAAGTCATTCAGTTTGAAATCCTACGTCAAAAAAGAAACAGTCGGTTTATCTTGACGTTAACACGAGAGCGACTATGGGTAATAACGAGCAGTCTTATGAGTTTGTAGTGTAATTATCAAACGTGTCGACATATTAGTAACAAACTTCGTGGATTTCTTATTATTCTAGGTGTTCTCAACTCTGGTTCAGGTAACGCTCGTTTGAATAAAATTTTATCTTCTCCCGATGTTCCACCCATGTACCCCAAGGTTTATAAAGTGCACGAAAAAGAAGTAGGCTTGGCAATGGAAGAAGTGGCTCTCAATATCTAGCTGTGTAAAAGCTACGATGTTGGAGAAATGTTTTTCCGTTGACGAAGCTGAAAATTTAAAGTTATAGTTGTAAGTAATGGATCCTTCAATATGGTATACAGCAAGAAAGCAACGTCCAATTGCTTATGTTGAGTTAATAACTGTAATTTAAGATTGTTTTTCGTTAGCTAATACCAGTTAATCATACAAGTTTAGTTTTTTATTTTTTTTTTTTNTTATGTATTTTCCAAGTCTATTGGCTTACTGTAGTGGATCAGTAATAGTTTTTTTCATTATATTTGTCACTTCTTCTGGCATGTCATGACCTAAACATACATTGATGTTAATTATAACAGATATTAAAATAAAATTGAAAAAACAAAATTTCATAGCTTGTTCACTTACAAAACAGACTCACCAAAAAAATCCGTTCATAGATAATCATGCTGAACATAACCTATCGAACTTAGATTAATGTACTTTGGACACATGGTAGCTTAATAAAAACAAAAAGTGTTACAAATTGATATATAGTTTAATACTCTTACGTTGGTTGATGTTAGAAGATATTTCTCCACTGGGTACAGAATACATTGTTAAAAATAAGTATAGTGTAAGGTGAAAAGACCAAAAAAAATTGTCACAGTGTGCAATTAAAAATTGTACTTCATTTTGTAACACATGCATGGTTGTAATCTCCAATAAAAAGTATAAAAAATAGTTTGCAAGCATATACTTTTTCTTGTAATTGTGTAGGCCTCCAAACCTGAGAGAGGG